AGTTACATAGGGTTGAAAGAGTTGAGTTAAAACGTGGGATGCAATTATGATGGGAGAATAATAAGCTAAGGCTGAAGCGACTTTCGAAATCTTTTTCCCAATATTTTCTCATCCTTTTTTCCCACCACGGTTATAATTTATTGCTGAAAACCCTAGATTTTTAATAAGGCAGTATTTTCCCCTCGTATACCTTGACTACAACAATATTCCCTTCTCAGAGAAACCTCATCCAGAAATATTGCCTTTAGGAATTTCGTGGGCATTTCCTGTGTAAAAATGCACCGAGTGGTTAGCTATTGTTTCGCTCACCTGAATATGACTTGCATATTAGAAAAACTAGCATACTTTACACGTTCGTTCAATCAGGTGTGACATTAACATACTCACATACAAGTGGCTAAGCCTATGTATTGGGTGACCACAGATATAAATATACACCCAGTCAACATATGAGTCATAGTAGTTCTGGCTCAGTGCTTAACCTGTGAATCCCTGTCAGCGGTTCGTATCGATACTGACCCCGTGATATAGAAGTGGACTATATCAGGTTTGCCTGGCGCTGTGTAGAAGCGTACAAGCACACATCTAGCTATACATTTCCTCTTGCTTACGTTTGCAAGTGTTCGCAATGCAGATAAAGGAATCAACTGATGCAAATGGAAATTTGATTCGTTTCAAGCCATACAAAGGTTTGAAATTCCATCCAGATATTCCAGGCAGGGTAGAAGACCATTTGAAGGATGTTTCTTCATTATTTCTACGATCGGACGATGTATTGTTGTGTACATATCCTAAATCAGGTAAAAATGTCCACTTTTTCCTTTAAAACTCAATTATCATTATTCCCATTTCAGTCCGTTATGTTATATATACAATCTGTACAGCTGACCTGTCTCTGAACCAGATCTCTAAATATATCACTTCAAAACTACAGACAGAATATGCTTTACTAAGCCAACTATATATATGCAATATATAAGGAATCGACGATACTTTGTATTATCCTTTCTCTAGATATGTTTAGCAAAGAGAAATTAGGAACAGACTCCGCTCTTAATGGCGTTTCAATCTTCTTCTTTACAACAAGTGTTTTATTAGACATTTCACAATGTTTGTATGTAAATGCATTAAATTTGCAAGGAAGATCAATTGAATTTAAATATAAATAAAGAGTATTAAGATAATCTTATCTAAAAGTGTTGACAGCCCATATAGTTAATTTAGCTGAAACTAAATCATTTAAAGTTTACTGATTAAATGTCGAGTTGATGGCCACAGATACATGTATCTATTTATAGAAATGGTACAGTTCATAATATATACACACATTACATATTATTTCATTTGAAATTAACCGGTACTCTTCAAAATTTTGCAATTCATAATTTTTGAGTATTTACGCACCTGTCCCTCCGTTTCAACAGTAGTTACGACAATTTGGATGTCCATCATGTTGTCCCCTAGCATCACGGATGAGTCCTGGAAATACAGAACGACTGTATGATGCATTGAAATTCATTGTTGACATACTGTATCTATTACTAAATTAATGTGCAGTCAGGTGTGTATGTAACGTCACGTGTGTAGTTAAGTTCATCATTCTTGTAAGTAAAAAGTGTATTATATAGTTTACATAATATTCGATAATATGTAGTTGGAACAATCGAGAAGAAATACAACTATTATTTATTTTGCTATGTTTACATTTGCATGGCATTATCACTATATAGCCTCCTTGAAAGCTGTGTCGTTGATGGGACTTTAATTACCATGCATCACGAGACACAATTCTTAGCGTATTAATACAACACTGACCGGAACTACAATATCCAATATATCGCTGGGCATTGTGAGAATTGACAATGTCATTGTAAATTTATGTGCAAAATAAAAATAAATTAAAAAACACTTTTATTACAACGAAAACAAGACCAAGGTCTGCAATATCGTACTAAATGCACATCGGTTGAAATCACCAATGCCGGCAATGGAAACAGTTTATCAGAAATATCGTCTGTTACACTGCACTGATCAACAGGGGGTTCGTTACAAATGTCTAAAATACACATATTCTATAGACCTACTGACACATATGTTACAGACCTACTGATATGAGTCACAGCACACATAAACATTTCAGACATTTGTAACGAACCTGTGTTCCGTCGCAAGATCACTCACTTCAAACGCAAATCAGTTTCACGCGTCTCACATCCACGGTTTCTCAGTTTCTGAAGACATGTCAAATAACGAATCTACCGACTGTTGTCAGGTTCCCATACAATCAACAAATACATTCACGCCTGGATTTTTCACAAAATGAGCAAAGAGAAAAGTTCGAATTAACTTCCAAATATAACTCCCTTGTGAAGGGGCCAGGTCGGATTTACAGTTTTCACTGTATTTGTCCATACGCGGAATTTGTTCCGGGAAAAAATCGAAACAATTTCAAATCTAACTTTCAGCTCAGAGTTCTATTGATAAACTTAAATCACCCTATAGACATATCATACGCAATTGTATTGATACTGAACTGTGGAATAAAATTGAAGTGTTTGTTAAAATTTCAAAGTACTACTTTGTTTGCCAATCAGCACGCGACAATACGCTGTTCACACTATTGAACAAAATTGTGTGGACTGTCGATAAGGCGGGCATTTTCAATTTTAGATATAAATTATAAGTTAAAAAAGAACATAAGAGTCAGAGAAAAAGTAAATATAAGTATTGAACTGTTTTTGTATGGTATTTATGATCTATTTAAATGACACAGCTTTGCAAGAAAACAAATCATAATGGTTAATTATGCTTATCAGATATTTTAAACGTTGATTTGATGTAAAAATGTACCCTGCTCAACTTGCTTAGAGGTACGTATTTCCTAAATAACTCATTTTGAAACATCATTATTTTTAATTTTCTTTTAATCATCAAAAGAATGTCTTATGAACAAGAAATAACCTCTATTACTTTAGCTTTTGCAAATTTGGCTATCTCGAAAATATGGATGCTCAGGTAAAATCAGCTGAAGCTGAGAAAAATATGTGTCAGGTTAAAAATACATGAAACAAGTTTTTCTAACTCATATTAATCCCTTCTGTTGGCACAGTTAGAAGCGCACACAGGGTTTAAGGTGGTCGAAAACCGGAATACCCGGGAAAAAATCCCTCATGGCACAATACTTTTTCATGTCTGATCGGGGAACCTAGCCCCGTCCGTCTACTCTTATTGTAGTATTATAGCTTGTGAGATAACACAGCCGCGTTCCGGACTATGCCATCGCACAGGGGCGGATCTACTCTAATTTTTAAACAGTACACACGTGAAAATATATATAACCATAATGTACCAAAAATATAGATATTTGCACGATTAAATATGCCAAAACAATTAATTGTAATCCACCTGTTGACTAACGTCATGGTCTTGGCATCTTGTAAAACTGTAAAATAAAATCAGTCAGAACACGTCACCTGATACTGTACATGTTTAGAAAATGGCAGTTGCCAATGACGGCGACATTAGTCTATATTTCGGATGGTCCTAAGTTCGAACTAAACTGGTTCGTCTATTTCAGACTTCCAAGGCGTTTTATCCTGACATCGTAAATGTGTTGATGTAGGTCTGAAACAACTCTATGTCATGTGAAACGGTTGGGATATGTGCAATAATTACAATATTCTTCACCACAGATGTTTCATTTTGTTTATATTTATAGCATCAAGCTGTTATCATTAATTAAATGTTGGCATATAAATTCAAAAATACTTAAAATTATATTTTATAGAACAAGAGAATGAATTACCGATAATACCCGAAATATGTCCTTGCCGTTGAATAAACACATTTACATTATTCAAAGTGTCAAGCGGGAAAAATGTATGTACTAATCGACGAACCAACAAAGTGTTATAGGTATGCCACTGTATATCTGATGGTTCCGACACGCCAATTAGAACACTTCCCCCGATACTGTACAAGTTTGGAAAGAACAGTCGCCTATGACCGTGCCGTTCGCCCAGATTTTGGATTGTCCCGAATTTCGACTCATTTGTTCCCTCTTGCATTTTCCAAAAAAATCCTCTAGAATATTGTATTTATATGTGTGTCAATATATATATGGTACATTACACTAGATAGTCTGTGTGCTGTTGATAGTCAATATGAGTCGCGCGTTACATTTTGGCTGTTTTCGTTTACCGTGTTCGAAACGGTTGGACCGCATCAATGAACAGGCCTTATTAAAGTGCCGTCATACCCCTGTGATATCTTGTAATGCTAGTTATCAGTTGCTAGGGAAAGTGCATTGTTACACAGGGAATGCCCACGAAATTCCTAAAGGCAAAGTCTCCGAATGAGGCTTCTCTGAGAAGGGAATATTGTTATAGTCAAGGTATACGTGGGAAAACACTGCCTTATTAAAAATCTAGGTTTTTCAGCAATAAATTATAACCGTGGTGGGATATAGGATAAAAAATATTTTTCCAACATCATTGCATCCCACGTTTAATCTTAACTCTTTCAACGCTATGTAACTTAAGTAAGCTCTACCATGCATTGATCTGGATGAGTCCATTATGGTCTACAGTGGTGAAAGGGTTAAGACGGTTTATGACATATCCTTATGAAAAATATACAATATATGAAGATTTCATTTTGAGGTTAAGTTTAAAGGAATGCACGTACTTCAATAGGATCAGAAAAGCACATTAAACACTATATTGTAAGTTGTTTGGTCTTGAGAATCAGCTTGGCGTCAGATTATTTGAGCAGGTTCATTTAGCTAACCTACCTTGAATGGTTCACTTCTTTTCTATCGTGATATTGTTGTCGTTTCAGGAACACATTGGGTGTATAACATGATACAAATGATACGGTCAGAAACGTTACAATATAGCGGGACACCACACATGCTGGATTTCCACCCAACAAGCGAGATTGATCAACTGGATTCACCCCGAACCATCCACACACATCTTACCTACCCATTTATACCAGAAATGGCAAGACAGGGCAAAGTGAAGATTGTACATGTTCTGCGAAATCCAAAAGATACAATAGTGTCTTATTATCAGCATTACAAACGAGTAGGAAGACCGATCTATGAAGGAGATTTCAACGGATTTTTTGATTTCTGTCTATCAGATGAGAGTACTATTGTCTTTATTTTTTATCATTATTAATCTATTTATTTATTTATTTACATTTTTTTCAGAATGAAAAATTATTTCACAAATATAAAAATATGACAAGAAGATGCAAAACTAAGCCAACTGTTATTACGATTAACGTCTTTATACATTTGTGTTAACACTTCTTAGAGAGAAAAGCGGAACTAAGGGACCTGGATACATTGTGAAAATGGTTGTTATAAAAACTAATTTCTTCAAAAATTCATGGATGCTCATTTAGTTAAAGAGACGAAAGTGTTTCATTTCCCTTATGTCCTTCTGTTCAATGTTCACGTTTGCTAGTAATGTTTCTGTTTATTTGACCAATACTAAAATTCAGGTTTTTAATATCTTTGAAATAGTAAGTTTACTATATGAATTCTTGTTTATTTAGATGCACTGTTTGGTGGAAATTGGTTTTCGTACTTCAGGGAATGGGAGGATGCCAAATTGACACATCAGAACGTAAAGGTTCTCTCCCTGCGATATGAAGATATTAAACAGGTTTGCCCATAGAGATTTCCATGAATACCTGAATGTTATAAATCAATAACCAAGTCAGATAAGTCTAAATGTAATCAGCTATCTACTACTATCTATGTATTTATGGCACATTTTTTGTTGAAGGGTTATAAAAAACGACTTTGGCGTTGAACGGATTGTGTTATCTTTTTTTTTGAAAACACGAATCTTTAACAGTCGCACAAATCCATTATTTGTCTAATTGATGTTGTTTTGTGCAAAATTAAATGCCTAGTCTAAATGTACATAGATTAGAGTACCTACACATTTCCAGCGATGCGCAACATTTGATGGAAGTGTATTAAAAACACTGGTATACAGGCGGGTAAATATAATGATATGGTGAGACATTTAATTAGTGACATTGCATTCCGATAAAACTACATATATCATTATCGGGTTTAAAATAAAGATGTATCGGCCATTTATGCATCAACTAATCGTTAATTTTAAGTCGTTAATTTTCCAGAATCTGTATGACACCATCAACATACTGGTAGAATTCCTCCAGCTTGATCGACCAGAATCATTTTTGCGTGACGTGGAAAAAGCAGTTCAATTTGAAAATCTTCAGAAGGAACATGAAACAATGGCAGGAGAAACGAAGATCTGGAAAGATCTCGGAGACCGTGGAAGATTACCAATTTATTGGAAAGGTAACTTTTTGTAGACCATTGATACTTGTATAAATATCAAATCTATTTTGTTTTTCTATTTGCTATTGAAACCAATGGTAAACAATAATGATTTGAAAAGAAGGCAATGGGTTCTGTTCCGAGGCCGGAACATACAAAAATCCTGAAAATGGTATTTATTATTTCCTGCTAAACTTTTTTCATTTAGAGTAAGCACAAAGGCTGTTAACCCGTTGCCAGTCTAATGTGACCGGGTGAAATACGTGTATTATGTTGGGTGCCTTTGTCATGGTATTTCAGTGATTGTCATTGATACCTCCAGCACACATACACAAATGCACCCATACACTACAAAAATGGAGGCACGTCCGTAAATGACCTGTTAATAGGACGCTAAACCTGTTAAAACCAAACCAAATCAAACAATTTGTATTAATGTCAGAAAACCGCAATATGGGTACGTTTTGAAAACTAAACCCATCAGGTTTGAATACAGTATTCACAATATATACTTTGCCAAGTGACACTGAAACAAATGGCTGGGTGATTGTACTTTTTAGGATGTATTGGTGATTGGAAAAATTACTTTACAGTTGCGCAAAACGAAAGATTTGATGCAGTATATGACAAAGAGATAAAGGAGCAGGGTATTGATCTCCAATTTTCCTATGAATGATACATGACACGCATGGTGAGTCTGTGCGATGGAGAATGTACAATTATATACATTTTAACTAGAGTTTTGAATAAAAATAATCTACAATCTATACTGTGACAATGTAATGTCAATAAACAAGTTTTGAAAGATAAAATTTCTGTATTCTGTTATTTATTTAAATTATGCCAAAGGAATGCATGGCGATTGCTTTTTATATCCTGATATCAAAAGTAACTTTTGATTTTTTTCTCGGTTAAGCGTACAGGTCGAGTTTATTTGTTAACGAGGTGCCAGTCGTTTGATACAAAATGCCCTTTAACTAAATACATGAAATATTTGACGTAAATTGTTGTTTCTAGTACAATCTATCGTTCTCAACTTGTTAGCAACTTTTTATCAATCAAGAAAGCAGGTATGGGGCATTACATCGGTAATTTAATTTACACAACATCACATCCTATTACTTTAGAAAATGTTATTAATTGCAATTAATTACCATTACCCATGCCTGTTAGATAGATTATATCAGTATAGGTGTTGTTTTTTCAATTCGCCGTGACAAATTAAAAATGAGTTAAGGCTGTGTAATTCTGAAATTTATATCTCATTTTTTTATCTAGTGTACCGGGTTTTGATAAAACAAATCATTACCAATTTCAAAAGCAAACATGCATCTGAAAATGTGTCAGAGACAAGATGCCTTTTGTCTCTTCAGAACCTGTTTACTAATTTATCAAAAATGACAGCCATTTGAATACCCCCCCCCCCCCACACACACACACATACAACACAATAATTAAGTATGTTTGTAGCTTGTTGAATGTTTCTCCGAACATTGTGAATGTGCAATATTTGAGAATAATTTGCAACAAAATAGAAAATTATAAAGCATTAATAAGTCTTTTGTCAATTACTTAGACAAACCTAAGCTCACTTGATTTTCGATCCCGCAAAAGGTGAAACACAGCACAAAACAGAAGCCAACTGAGCCTCCGTTTATTTGCTTGTTTTTGGAAGATAAAGTCAATTTCTTTGGATGTACGTTCAATAAATTGAATATTTGCCATATTTTCTATTTAATTATATGAATAAAGACAGGCGCGTAGCTGCCACGTAAGCAAATAAGCAGTTGCATGCACATCAAACATTCAAATATGCTATTATATTTCTATTTATTTATTTATTTTGTAGTCCAGAATAGTGATTAAATGATGTGTGGTTCAATTGAAAAATATATTAAATTAAACTGTATAACCGACAGCCGACAATCAGTACGTATCCGGGAGTTCCAACCTAGGGTACCTGGGCCAATTTTATTATTAGTATTTTTAAAGTTTTCAACATCGAAAACATGGCTGTAAAGCCACCGAAAACCCCGCATCATCTTCGAAGATCAAGTTGATAATGACCTCTTCCAAGCAGCTGTAGGTTCACATGAAACAACATCCTCTTGCGCCATTAACTTAGGCATCGACGAGTCTAAAACGGCTATTAGAGAGTATACGTGGTATGGCCTAGTAATACCGGACCGACCGAACACAGTTCTGATCAGTCTGACTGTTGTTACCCCTGATATCGGGAATACATTCGTCTTACTAAAGTGAAGGTGGATATCGATATCCCGTCAAAAAATTGGGAAAAAGCTCACGAGTTCAAGTTCCATGCACAGTAAGATTTGGTAGCATGTCGTTAATAAACATACGTTAACAAGCGATTGTAATGAAATACAACTAAGTCAACGGAGGCGGGTTGTTTTATTGGAATGCGGTTTTTTATACGAATTAAAGGTAATCCGAATAACAATTGTAGATTGATTTGTTACTAGCATTATTGTTATAGGTTTTAGGGCGGATATATGAGCGTCTAGAATCCATCTGAGTTTTACATTCACTTCGCCTGCAAATGTGATATGAAAAAGGCAAAGGCCAAAGACTCAAAAGTCAGAAAAAAAGCCACGTAGCTTTTGCTAATATGTGACTTTATATAGGCCTATTGAGAATTTTACAACATAGACAGTTAGATAGTTTCATTTGTCCCTGTCATGAACTGATAAAGTATGTTTTTAAGAGTAGTCATAGGCCTATCTTTAGAAGGGCTAGTCAGGTTATGCAATGAGACAGAACTATTATGACTCATATGTAGACTGGGTGTATATTTATATCTGGGGTCACCCAATACATAGGCTAACGCACATACTGTGCGTATGCGTATGTCTCACCTGAGTGAAAGAACGCACACCTGGGATTGTGCATGCAGCTCTGTCAATATGAACGACGCATACACAACCACTTTTTCGCACACCGCACAAACCCTTGTCCAGTCACTCCGAGCTGAACAGCAGATCATGATACATGGTACCTGCAGCGTTATCTGCCAAGGAATACCACCCGGCCGAGGCCCTGGTAAGACAGACTAACTACATATTCTATAATTAATATATATGTAATATATATAAAAACTTATTGAATTCATAATGAACAAATGTTTACCAACTTTGTCCATTATTCGAGACTAGCGATAGTAGTAACTAGTGTATGTATGTTTATTTTACAGGCTCTCTCTTCCGAGAGACATGACATAAGTTATCAAGAACGATGAAGGAATTGCGTGGTTATTAAAACACGCCCAAAGCCTTACACATATATATCTTAAATTATTGTATACACTGTATATATGGGCTATTTTGACATCCGTCAAAATAGCAGATTGATCAATGAAATAACGGCTAAGGCGTTACCCAGTAGCGGGTATCCAAAAATGATTAACAACGCCAAGCAGGATTATTCAATGAGAAACAATAACGTTCGGAAAAAAGAGGTCATCGGAGAAGGGAAACAATAGATCTGCTCGATCCGTTGAGTAACGTCTTAGTCCTGGTAGTTCGTTGCTTTAGCATTTATTTCAATCGAGCGAAGCGCCTGCCTGCTTCGCTGGTCGGGCTTTGAGGTGTATGGCAAGCACAAATTGAGCAAGCTTTGTGTTAGGTCTCATGATAATAGGTCTTTTTTAATCAGTTCAGCGAACTTTGAAACATGCTATGTAGAAATGTTGCTTAAGAGTACACGGCTTGCTCAATTTTCATAACTGATGTAGTATTTTGTAAACATTGTTTTGTGTTGTATTAAAACCACTGTAAAATAAACAACACATAAAAATACCAAGTATAGACACAGTATACCACTCATCCCATAGCCATAAATCTATAAACCATAGACCTTCATGTATCGTTCCTCCAACTCATTTGTAATGTTTAAAACAACAAAGCATAGCTGAATCGAGTCATTTCGGTACATATATAACACCTATTGTACACACGCTTACAGCGTAGCCGAAACCACATCAATTTTGTTGACAACTCGTACAAATTTTACACCTCTATGTGCATACGCTTCACTGGTCATCACTGATGAAGGTAACAGTGTACGTACCCTACTAGTCATAGACATGTCACATAGAAACTCTTATTGGTTGTATAAAAAGAACTTATCATAAAGCCATATTGTGTCTTTTAGATTTCGAAGAACATGCACAATTTTCACTTTGCCCTGTCTTGCCATTTATGGTATCAATGGGTAGGTAAGATGTGTGTAGGTCGTTCAGAGTGAATCAGTACGATAAATCACGAGTGAATATCAACCATATATGGTGTTCTTCTACACTGTAAATTGTTTGGCCAGGTCATCTGTATTATGTTATTTTTATAAAGTATATGTAGTTTATAATGCCGTTCTATTCCCTGAAACAAACACCACCACCACCAACAACAACAACAACAAAGTATCAGATGGCACGACTATTATGTTTTACGATAGGAAAGTTTGGGCGAAAAATAATCAATCGCTCCTGGTTGATGTAGACAGGGAATTCTCGAGCCTCTGGATTTTTTTTTTTATTAAATTATGGCGATCGGCAAAGCATCGTGAAACTTCAAAACTATTTACTCGCTGATTAAGATCCTTTTGTCTGCATCACTAAAGAGAGATATATGTAATAATTCCAGACTACGCTAATAAAGTAATATATAAAGTCAATGGGTTCAGAGCCATCAACGACAAAGCAGTACAGATTGTACTACAAAACGGTGTGAAATTTTATTAATGTCATATGTCATAAGTAGCTACAGTAAAACCCTACTTACCCGAACTCGTAGGGTCCAGATCAAAAGTCCGCGGTTCGACCGACATCGTATTTTATTTTTATCATGTGGGACAACAGTCATTACGAGCACTGCCAATATCGCGGATAGTAGATGCTAGAAGAAAAAAGTTTTGAAAACGTCCACCATACTGTTATCGTCTGTTTACAAAATTTCAAAACGAGAGGAACTCTTCGATCATTTTAAAATGAAGAAAATCTTGAATCTTGTATTATGTTCCGATACGAATGTTTGTAATCTATACTTGTTTTCCTGTTTTCACTCAAGAAAACAACGTGATAAAGTATCAACAAAACCGTTATTCAAACTAAAGATCGATAAAATAAGGGCACAACATGATCAAAGGCAATACCTTTGTACACGTTCAAGGATAATAAGACCATGTGTTTCGGAAGGTTAAGTGTCTTTTGTGACATGTTAACCAGGCTTGGAGTCTAGGAATACTAGTCATGGGAATCGGGAATATTATCATATGGAAGGAGAAATTTTACGATTTGAAAATCTTAACCATCCAGCTTATCGTACAGCTCGCTAGTAAGCTTTCCCTGTTGGTCATGGTAACATTTCTTACTGGAATATATTATTTATCTTTATTTTCTTAGTATATCTAAAAGTGAAATCTTCATAATATCGTGCCGTATGTATGTATTTCTGTATTAAATACGTTATCTTAAATTCTTTTTTATAGAGTTATACTAAAACAGACGACGTTTGGAATGAGAGGGATCATATACAACTTTGCAATTTTGATGTTGATAGGAGGGATATTTTCGTTTTAACAATAATATGAAACAACAAAGTATACGTTATTATTTCTTGATCACATTCTACACTTGTTTTTATCATATTCCTTTTGATCACATGAGCCGGCTAGATTGTAGATCGATTGCAAACATACTTTGTCAACCATAGTGCACTGA